GGACCTGTTCATGATGAGCAGTTCGAACGTCCTCAAGTCAACAGTCTTCTGCGTGTTGGCGGTCGCGTCACTCAGTCAGCTGACTTCATCTTCTACGTCTACAGGTTCCTCTTTTTGACACTTTTGTGGAACTTTGCAACTTCACGGACATCTTTTCTCCTTGTTGCAAACTTCTTGGAAACTTCCTCTTCGTTTTGTGGTTGTTTGTGTTCAATTTGGGTTTTCCTTTCAGTTCGCTACACTCTCTCACCGGTTTATATGCACGTCCTTTGGCTTCAATGTGGAAATTTGATGTATGTATTTAGCTATGTTGATTTATTCCGGGAAACAACTATAGTACAACTAAAGTACGTATCGAAGTCAGTAAGGGAGAAAGTAAATAAGACAAGCTTAGTCTGTAATTAACCGCCTTTACAGTTCATTTCTTGTTAACGGACGTCCAACACAACCTAATTTTCACCACCGACCCTGGCAATTACACAGTCCCGTATTTCCCTAACAAACATTGTGTTCTTGTCTCTCTTTTCCCAGTGTGTCAAGAAGAGAAATTTTGAACGTTTTTTCTGTCTCCAAGTGCAGGAGCTGCCACACTTCAATGGATCGGAGGTTGTAAAAAGTGGAATATGTGGCCTACTAAGGTTGACTGAACTGAACGTCGACCGTCGATCGACTTATCTTTTTATGAATGAAATAAGCAACATCACCCGTCTGAGGTTCCAGTTCAAGGTGTTCGTGAGATATGCCGAATGTTAACCGTTATCATTGCTGTTGTAAATATATTTTGGGTAACTATTGATAATAATACTAACAGTAACCATAGTTATCGATTATGCCTGAATTACATATAGAATAGTAACAATTCTGTATGACTTTTATTATTAAACTGTTGAACTAACGAAATGGACAGAAATACGCCCTTACCTGCAGCACCTGTGTCATGTAGGTGGAGTTATTGCTTCACCTTAAATGATGAGTTAACTTCTCAGCTATTGCATGCTTTATCAACACGCTTTCGCCTTCGTCAAAATATAAAAGAAGAATAACACGATCACTCTTTGATAAAGCCTAGACACATGACCGTTGTTTTCTCACTGACCAACAAAGTTAATTATTGTACAATACGTCCAGCACGGTATCACCAACAAATCGTCTGAACCCGAGTCTTCTGTTCGCCAACTGACACCTAAAGACACGTCCTGTGACAAACCACAAGGGCAATTAGGGTGTCTCGCGACGCGACGCGACACCAAAAGCTGTCTCGTGATTGGAGGCGAAACAGGCCTCTAAGCTCCGCCCATTTCTGTGACGTAATGGGAATGATCGTGATTGACGGCTTGCTAATTTTCTGTACTACTTATTTTCCCGACAAGTACACAGTATTTTGGAATATGATATCCAAGATGGCTTTTGATATCTTATGGTGGGTACTGCTGTGTTATAGATATCCAATATGAGTACGAATATGCATGAAATATCCGAAGTACGAGGAATGCATCTGGCAACTCGATAAATAGTTTACCACCTGCTCGATTCCTGTCGCGCGAGAGGTGTCGCGTTTCCCTTAACCGCTGGAAAAGATGTCTAAAACTCCTGCGTTTCCCTTGCAGACGCCGACACATCCTCCGAGCACGTCATCGTCTTCCAAGCCTCTGGCAGGGCGTCGACCGACTCGCTCCTGGAATTCCGGAAGGAGATCCCCCAGATGACGGCCATCACGCTGTGCGCCTGGCTCCGGTTCAGACACTTCATGCCCGTCGTCGACAAGATCGTGTCCTATTTCACTGTCGGGGACGAGGACATCAAGATATGTGAGTGCGGCCGTCCGTGCGAGCCGTGCGGGGGGAGGAAATGTGAATGGAGAGGTAGACACGTGTGTATGAATATATACGTATATATATATATATATACACATCACACACACACATATATACACAGTTATGTATATGTATATACATATACATATATATATATATATATATATATATATATATATATATATATATATATATATATATATATATATATATATATATATATATATATATATATATATATATATATATATATATATATATATATATATGTATGTATAATGTATACATATTATAAAATAATATATATATATATATATATATATATATATATATATATATATATATATATATATATATATATATATATATATATTATATATACGACACATACACACACACGCACAACACACACGCATTCATATATATATATATATATATATATATATATATATATATATATATATATATATATATATACATATACATATGCATATATGTATGCACACACACACACATATATATCTATATCTATATCTATCTATCTATCTATATATATATACATACATATATATATATATGTATGTATATACATGCACATGTATATATGAATATATATATATATATATATATATATATATATATATATATATATATATATATAAGATATAGATAGATAGATATGTCTGTATGTATTGGTGTGTTTGCAGGGCGCGTGTGCATGTTCCATTCGTAATTCAAATGCACGGCCAAAAAATATATTAGTCACTCGAGTGAGAAGTTAGTCATACTTCTCGACATTTTTTTGTTTTATTCTTTGCGTATGCAGCTGACTTTACTTATCTACATTCTTAAAATTTAGGACATTAGTTTCACTGGATATGACGCTGTAATGACAGGATATTCAATTTGATGATTATTATTATTACTATTATTATCATTATTTTTTCTACATATCATCGGTTACGTTTCTTTCGTGGAAACTAAGATGACCTTTTCCAACTTTCAGACTACGATTTTATCAATAAGGAGTTTGTCATTTGGACCCCTGGCTATAGATTAACGATCAGCATCGTTATTCCTCTCTATACATGGACACACATCTTCATGACCTTTGACCTGATCACAACTGAAAACTACGTCCTGGTCAACAACGAAGAAGTGAAAGGGGAAGTGTCGCTCAACAACGAGGAGAAGGTCGGCTCGAGTCTGGCTGCCGGAGGCCTGCTCGTGCTGGGCCAGGATCAGGACAGCCTCGGTGGGGGCTACGCCATCACGCAGGCCTTCTCGGGGGACATGGCGCAGCTCCTCATGTATTCCAAGTTCTTTTCCCGGAAAGACAGGAGAACTTTCAACTGCTTTGAAAATCGGCTTGGTTTAGAGACGCCCATTTTGTCGACCAGCGTCCTCGAAGACTGGGAATTTGTTGGCGATGTTGAGACTCAGCAAATACCGAGGCACCTTATCAGTCCTTCTCAAAAGGTGAATTTCTTTGTCCTTCCGGAAAACGAATACTTTTCGGATGCAGCAAAGCTGTGTCGGGTGCTTGGCTTGCCGCTGGCACTTCCCAAGAGTGAAGAACAGAATGAGGAGCTTTTCAAAATGGCTGTCGGTGTAGAATCGATCTGCATCACCGCGTACAGCACGAATGTATGGCTTGGTGTCCGGGCAAACTTCACCACAATGTCATGGGAGAATGCTAATAACAATGGGCGTCTTGGTTATGAAAATTTTGACCCTCTGTACTCGACCCTCTCCGAGACAGATCGGTGTGTGTCCTTGGGAAGTTCTCACTACCCACGGGTCTGGCATAAAACGTCCTGCCAGAAATACAAGCCTTGTCCTGCGTGTGAAAATGCGCCTGTCAACTCCATCCAGGTACGAGGCCTGTGCCTGCAGTCGAACTTCGACCGGCGCCTCCACATCCACGGCACAAAGAACCTCAAGCCGATGTTCCACGGTACCTTCTACACCCAGCTGTGGTGGGACAACTCCACCTGGATCATGGCCAGCCGCCTCCTGCCGCGCCTCGAGGCCAGGATGGTGATTGACCACACGGAGGCTTATCCCATCGGCCTCCACCGGTGGCACGTCTCGGGCGACGAGTGCCCGGCGGAGCAGCTCGACCTGCTGCTGACGGTGTGCGGCGAGGACAGCTTCCCCTGCAGCGACGGGACCTGCGTCCTCATGAGCCAGCGCTGCGACCTCCGCGCCCACTGCGACGACGGCAGCGACGAGACGGAGTGCGACATCGTCTACCTGCAGGCCAACTACGAGCGGACGCTCCCGCCGCCGCCGCCGGAGAAGGAGAACGTCCTGAACGTCACGCTCAGCATCGTCATCACTGCCGTCCGCACGCTCAACCTGCTGGACCAGACCGTCACGCTGGACGTCCGGCTCACGTCCGAGTGGCAGGACTCGAGGCTCAAGTACAACGACCTGCACTCGGAGCAGTTCAGGAACCAGCTGCAGGACCACGAGCGCCTGTGGCTGCCACGACTCATCACGACCGACGACACCGGCAGCCGCGTCGACGTCGTCACCCGCGGCGAGTCCCTGGTCGTGCTGAGAGGGTCCGAGCCGCTGCCCGCCGACGACACCCGCGTCAAGAAAGGTATCTTTTTCATCAAGGGTAAATTGTTTTCCGTTGCGTCTATAAGACTCATTAAAGGTCAGCTTCATTTCATTTGTAATTTTCCCTTTTCAGCTATCGTGTACCCTGGCTCGGGGAATCCCCTTCTGCTGCGACAGGAGCTCAGCATCTCGTTCCAGTGTCAGTTCGACCTCCGCTGGTTCCCCTTCGACAACCAGCGCTGTTCCCTCAACCTCAAACTCAATGAAGTCGAGTCGAAACTTGTCAACACAATCGCCAGCGATCCGCAGTATCTCGGACCGGAGAAATTGCCGGAGTACGAGGTAGGTTC